CAGGATGGTAAATCCGACGTAGATGGGGCGATTTAGGTAAAGCTTCGTTTTCTTCATGTTGACAGCTGCTAACTCCTCTGAGAATATGCGGAAGTAGTCAAAGGATGGAGATGCTATCAATTTCGATAGTTTCGTCTTATCGTTGACGAGCTTGACGTTAACGCGCTTTCTCAAATTCTCCATGGTTTTGCCGAACACCGAGTTATTCATCAACTTATAGAAATCTTTCTCGAAGTCGTTTGCTGCATGTTTTCGTTTCTCGGTGTTGAAATCGATGTAGGTCTTTAACCATGGGCTTTGTTGGAATACCAAAACGCGGTGGATCTTTGCCAACTTCATGCCAAGTGCCAGGTATTGCTTTAAATTGCGGTAATGAACTACATAATTGGACTTGTTCCGGAGATTCGGCACCAATTTAGATACAGCGCCACCACGAAGTTGCAAACTTTCCGACAGATCCTGGCAGTATGGTGACAACATTTCTGAAGAAATCTTCATTCTCTCAGGCGCTAGAGGATAATCGTTGTGAAGATCGTGTAATTCGAACGGATAGTGTAGGTCTACTTCCAATATGTAGCCTTCATCGTCATCGTCCGCAACGTCCGTGATGTCAAGTTCTGCAATCTCTTGGTCGGTTAGCCAGTCAAATTCACCTGTGGGTAGAGGTTGCGACATAGCCCAGCCATAGAGGTTGTTAGCATCAAGATACATCACGTAGGAGGTATCTTGTTCTGGGTCATAATCGGGAACGTATGGATTGTTAGCTTTACCATAGCGGGTGCTAATCATTGAAATTCCACCGCGAAGACCTTCTTCGATGAATAGATACATGTCTGGATCTGTCAGCAGCTCGAGTTCGACTTCAGTCATTTTCAAACACGCTTGCCAGGCTAGACCAGGACTTGTATAGAAGTGGCAGGGATCCAAGTTGTAGACTTTGAGGCACACGCTTCGAAAATTTTCAAACACATCTGCAAGGAGAAGAACGTCCGACGTCAAGTACAAATCATGGTAATCACCCATGTTCCGACAGGAAAACTTGTTAAATACACTCGTCGCGTGTGCGTAATCTTCGTCTGAAATATGTTCGTCATTCAACACGTTGTAGAAGGATTCCTTCGATGGTAAGGTTGGTTCATTGAATCTCTCTGTACTCTGGTCAAGATGAAGGATTTCGTCTAATACCCAACCACTTCCTTCTTTTTGAAATAAAATTAGTGACTGGGTAATTTTCTGCTTGACCTCCTCTAGTTGATTATGCAGTTCGTGTTGGGCTACTGTTTTCATGCAGAGACTGCGGAAGTGGGGTTCGGTAGTCAAATCTTCACAGTCGGGTTTAGGCTTGACGAATCGAACTTTGACGCTGATGAACCATTTAATACCCCTTTTCTTTACCAACTCGTTGGAAAGGTGGGCCAAAATCGGTTTGGTCTTGCCACGTAAGAAGTGGGACACGTCCTGTTTCTGATCTTTCCGCGGTTTCAACTCGATCTTCTTCAAGGAATCTTCAAACGCCGAATTAGAACTGCAAGGGTTATCTTCTTCGACTTGATTATCGGGTTCATCTTCTTCAACTTGAACTCGTATTTTCTTTGGAGTTGGACTGCTATCGTCTTTTTCTCGGTCTTTGTCACATCCTCTTTTCAAAGGATTCCGTTGACATTGAACTTGATGTCCCACTAAATTATCACGACGATGAAACTCTTTCCTACAATTTTTGCAGATATGTGTGATTGTTCCTTCGTGCCGCCTCTTATGGCGCTTTAAATCATCTTTCCGGGTAAAGGACGCACTGCATTGATCACAGACAAACTTCTTCTCTCCATGCACGGACCGTTCATGACGAGTTAAACTTCTCAGCTGCGTAAAGTTCTTGGTGCAGGCTTTGCATGTAAAAGACATTCTATAAATTGAAAATTGAATTCTCCTTTAGCAACTGCGGCCATAGATACATAAACACAACACTTCAACACCTGTAGCATAATATAAACACATAACCTTTAGCATCTTATTGTGGGAGAATAAAATTAAAACATCACGCATGCGAAGGTAATGGCTTTGTCGCCAGACAGCCCTTAATAAACTTCTCTGTCTACAACCACCAGTTCGTTGCTAGACATTCCCAAGCGGAAACAACTCAAACTAGTTGAAATTGTAAACACTTACCCTCAATACAGCAACTCTTTGGATTTCAACTTAACGATGATAATTATCAAACTATTAAATATAAACAGAACACTTTTAACATCTTATTGTGACAGAAGTACTGAATAAAATTTGTACAGCCACCGCTAGTTCGTTGAATGACTTTCCCAAGGGGCCCTTCAGATTCTTTCTTCACAGGTGCAGGCGACAAGGGTACAGTAACACTTAGAAGCGATTTATTCGAACTAACAGCTGGACCGTTCATTGCATGATTTTCCCAAGGGGCACCTCAGATATTTCTTCATAGGTGCAGCCAACAAGGGCACAGCAACTACTAGGAATCGGCTTCTTTGCACTATGAACAACTAAACCGTTCGTTGCATGACTTTCCCAAGGGACACCTCAGATATTTCTTCATAGGTATAGCAAACAAGGGCACAGCAACTACTAAGAAGCGATTTCTTAGTGCTTTTCATAATAATTGAACTAAATCTTAGTATTTTTTATAATAATTGAACTTTAGTTAATGCATCTTACCTAATCTCCTCTGTCAACTGTCTTTACTCTTCAGTATTTCTCGCAAGTTGCAAAAATAATCGACGTTCGAATTTGCAGGACGAAACCGGCGAATGAAGTTTTCGATCAAACCGCCGTATATATCCACAAAACCTTCACCGTTTGATTGTGGGAGAAGATTTAATGAAATAGGTATCACGCATGCGCACTAACAACTATTTATTGAACGTGCTCGAACGTGTTCGTTCTTGTCTGTTCTATGTTACAATTTGCATTTTCACTCATAATATAAAATACTATGGATTGTAGATAGCGTGGGAGTAGCGCACACCGTAGCGCACACCGTAGCGCTCACAAATTACCTTTTGTAAACAAAGACGACAGCAATTTAAAATTTCTACAGATATATGAACGGTAACCATATCAGCAATATACTGTGTGAAATAAACTAAAATTGTACACAGCTAACGGTAATGAAGCAACCAAACACTACCAAATGATGTAGATAAATACACGGTAGCGAAATCGCATGAAAATAAACCGAAATTGCTGAGTAACAAACCGGCAAAGCTCAACTATATTAAAATTACCTGAATAAATTAAAATATTTAAGACTCGACGACATCATCGGCGATGCCTCGTGCACCGCCTGCACCGCCTGCTCCAGAACCGCCACTCTCTATACTACTGAGATACACGAAATTTGATCTGTGAATAGCATCATGATACGGATCAACTGTTTAGACAAACTTAAGCAAGCAAAAGATAGTTCGTCTTCAAGTTCGTCCCTGTGCATGTAAACAAAACGTTTTTTCTGCATGACACCTTCTTCCGAAACAGTTTACTTTTAACTCATCCATGTTGTGTGTAAATAGCGATGCATGACGCTATAGTACTTACTGCAAAAACAACTATGTGTATATATGCATGTTTTATATAACCATGAACAAAACTGTTGTTTTAAGTGTCAAACTTTGCGTCTAGGATAGCTAAACCAGTGTGTTCCATAACTAAACGTTCATTTAGTATATACTAAGGGCCGTAGCTAGAAGCTTTATGTTCATATATTCGTCTTATGCCCGACTGATTTCTTTTGTACGCTATTGTTCCTACGGCATATTAGCAGGAGTATATGAATATACACCCCCACCACAATTAAGCGGTCTAGCTATGCCCCTGTATATACTTGTTGCCTATTGTTCATGGTGGACACGTGTCCTTTTTTGTTTCAAGTTGAATATTAACGATTAATCAAAATAAGTCATGGTTTAAACGTAAAAAAATCCGTTAAACAGTTCACGCTTTACACTTGAACACAAATTGTAATAATTCAAGGGCATAGGAAGAATCCAGAGATGGGGGGACACCAGCTTCCAGGGGCACTTTTGGCTAATAAAAAGGACAGCTTAGGTTAAATAAATATGTATGGGGACGGTTTGATTCACATACCGCCAGCCGCGAAGCATTCTTCGTATTACAGGGGACTCGTACTGCTTGGGTGGTCCAGGTGCATGCCGCGCTAAGAAAATATTTCTAATTTTGGCCTCTGAAATGACCGCAAATGCCTCTCGATTTGAGGATTATTGGGAAATAGTAGATACTTTTTTTTCTCTTTTCGCTTCTCTAAAAAGGTATTTTTCATAATAAAAACGGCACTTTTTGGGCTGGACGTGCCCCCTGTGCCCCCGCCCCGTCCAAACGCCCTTAGGTTTTAGGAGGTTCATCGTAATGATATATTGCATGTTTTGTGCGTTATGTAGTATAACTTTATGAGGGAAGGGGAGTAGGCTTTATAAGTTTTAGGTGAACTTTTTTTTCAGAAAATGAACTCATAGAGTTTAGATTATTACCGATAAATAATAAAAGTTATAAAGATACGTAATTAAATAGTAATTATCGAATATAAATATGAAATAATATCCTTATTTATCGTCAATTGTTTGAAGCGGTTAACTCATCAACCTTTCTAGTAAAAGTTCAAGGGTTGATAAATAAGTTACTTTCAGGACCATAAATTGCTATTCCGTTCCACGATGCTGAACCGCTCTTGATCCTCATCACCAGGATATATTTCATAAAAAAACGAATGATAAATGACATCACATCTAGGCTAATGTGGTATTATAAGATCTTGGTATCAATCCAAGTCAGCAGTGTAGCTCGGTATGAACGAAAAATTCTACGAATGACATAACTTTAACAACATTCGAATATCCTTATGTCTATATTGTCACAGGATCGTTTTTCCTATTTGTAACTCAACGATACCTAAACTTCTAGGCCACACCAGTATATACACCTATGTTTTATGCGTTTTTCATTTCTTTATATTCTCCAAGCTGTGTTGCCAGGCACACCTAGAAACCTCACACTAACTGACATCACGTCCAGATCTGCTGATGTGTCCTGGTTGGAATCCGAACATCCAGCCCATACCTTAAGAATACGATATCTTATTAAAGTGATAACGGATAACTCTGTCATTCTGAACGTTACCACAGACAGAAATGTCTATCGTTACAAAATTGACCATCTTACACCGTACACAGTATATGAAATATCTATATCCGCTCGAAATTATTATGGTTTTGGAGTTGCTGCTAGTACGTCATTCTTAACATCTGAAGAAGGTACACATCAATTTTGAATCTATGAATAGGGTAGTAGAAAATACAGATTCGCTACTCATCAGTGTTTCCAAGATTGGAAAAAATTTGACACAACAAAAATAAAGAGGACACATGACTATATTCGCCACCTTGTTCATCTCACTCTTGATTGTTCCCTTCTTGTATTTTTGTATATAGAACTTGAGTGATTACATCACCAATTAACAGTAAACATCGGGTGTAATCTAAGGCCGCCGGAGATCTTAAAGTGCGGTGAAAAAATTGAAATAGGTTAAAAATGCGACTCAATCCTTTGTACAAGAAAAGCTCGGAATTCCAGAATTGTACGTTAAAATTTTGCGTTTGCTGCCAAAGATTGCGGTTTGGCTTGACGTTTTAGCTTAACGGCTTGGCGTTTACGGCAAACGCCAAACTGCTAATGAACTTTGTGTTTTTAACTCCACTATCTCGAAGAATTTTTATCTATCATAGCAAATAGAAAAATTCGGCTTCACGCTCGCCGTATAAAACTTCATGTTTGAACGACTGCATACACCAACAGCCGTTCAATCATTTAAATTTAATACCGCGAACGTGAAACACATACGGTTGAGCTGAATTTTCCGCTTTGCTAAATACACCAAAAATGGCGTATTGCTTTCTTACATTACTGCGGCATCATGAATTTTCTCCACACTTTAATTAAGATAGTTGAGTTAAAACAGAAAGTTTACCAGCAGTTTGGCGTTTGCCGTAAACCTATCCGCAACCCTTACTCTTTTTCTCGTAACAAACAGGCTACATGCAATTCATGTAGGAGAAGCAAAATATAAACCTTGTTTAATTAATTCAATTTCAGACGCGAATGAAGATGAGATCAATGATGTTTCAAAAACGTATCTAATTGGAATGATAATTGCCATAACCCTCCTGATTGCTTCTTTTGTCATCATCTTTTGTTTGGTTCGTCAAATTCGGCGGCTCAAATCATTAAATCCTAACATGCAGATAGTGAACATGAACATTAGAAGGAAAAATTCGTCAAATATCTATGACATACCCGAGGAAGGTAATGTCTGTGAGGAGAAGAACAAGGAAAATGGAGAAGGGAATTACACAGAACTCCAAAGGAGAGATCATGAAGGTCATTTTTACATGAAGTACAACGCAACTGGATAAATATGCATGACCCTTCAATGCAAAAAAATTAAAAGTTTTCCCTAATGTAAACAAGAAAATACAATTTGCTCCCTGAAAGATTAGAATGGTGTTTCTGTAGCGATATTGTTACTTTAGCAGTGTAGCTACATGTGAAAGGCATTATAAATCTTAATATTTCAAAAAATCTTAATTATAATGTAACTATTTTTACATAATATGCAGTGCTTTAGTGGAGAATACGCCATTGCATGTAAAAAGCTATGATAACACATGTGCGAATATTTATGATAATAAAATATTCGTGGATTCTGGACATGAAATAATCAGCTGAAATTGCCACTGGATTCAAAGTACAGGCTGTATAGCTACGGTACAATTTGCTTCCATCTGTTATGGAGAGAAGTTGTTTAAATTTTAATACGACTTTTGAAGCGAAGTTATGTTAGTTATACTATGCATAAATTTATTTTACATGAGTCTGCAGTATAAGGAATATCAGTTGAGGTAAGGAATGAAAACAATTAAATATAAATAAGTTTCGAGTGTTTATTTTTTTCTTCTTCCGTTTCAAAACTGAAAGTCCTAAACCTCGTGTGATCACAATTAATATTTTCATGTTTTTGCATAGTGATATTGATTTGTTTCATCTTTCTCCGGTTCACGCGATCGCGAGTTATAAATTCATCGCTGGAATTGCTTCCTTACTTATGAAATGAAGAAGATGTTTCCAAGGTGTTTTCAGTTTGTGACATTATTTCTTGTTTCTCTGTTGCTGCAAGGTAAATACAGAATATAATTAGTAAATACTAAATGTCACTATTAGCCACTGAATATAACTGTTGTATTGATAGGCATACGTTGATATAATTTATAAACGTTTCGCTCTTTAAAAACAGTGTAGGCGAAAAGCGTCATTTAAGTATAAACTCATTTGCTGTACTATAAGTCTGTGGCGTCCCCAGCATCGATAAGTGGGGTGGACTTATTCATATATTCATGTTCACCGCCCGTTAAAACAATTAATTTGAAAATAAATAAATAATGTGGAAGACGAATATATGAATATGTCCACCCCATTTATGAAGCTGGCGACGCCACTGCTTTAAGTTTCGTTCTTTGTTCAACCCGCGTATATTGATTGCAAGAAGAACGTCGTTTCAATTAAGCCTGGCCTAAGTTTTGTTAACATATAGTTTTTGATTAAATTCTGTATTAAACACTTGCATTGTCATAGGTCCGATTTATGTAACCAACATGATGCCATTTTCCTTGACCAACTTTGACATGTGCAAAGCTCGCCCATCTGACAGAAAATCTGTATGTTTTACCACACGTTTTTCGACTTTCATAAACGACATCCGACTGAGGCCTCAAATGCACTATATATTTGTTTGTCTGCACGGTTAATTGGGATTATAGCGCCTTCTGTAAATAATTTCTGCTTATGCTTTAGCTTCATGATTATACTGAAGACATCTAGCAATCAAAATATTTGTTAAAAATCCAGCCACATAAACTTTTTCACAAGGAAAATATAAAACAAAGCAAGCAGTTGAACAAAAATTCTGCTGAGAAGGTTTGACCTTCCTGTTTGCCGTTTCCCGGACATGCGAGGCTTAAACTCGCCTCGTAAGGACTGTAAACGCAACCAAATACCTTTAAGTTATTAAATAATTAAATACTTTTGGGTCAAAAAAAAATAATAGATACTTTTAAGTGAAAAAAGTTAATATATGTTGTCCTTTCAAAACAGTAAACATCAAAATTTAGGCATGAAAGGAATGATAGGTTAAAACCTATTAACCTCTTCTTAAATAAAAAAATCGCCTTTAGAGCAAATTTATTAACGGAGTTATATATATATATATATATATTTAGTCGACATATAAATAATCATCTGTCGTACACTCAGTGTTCAAGAATTTCACAACATTAATTGTCAGTATTGAATAGTAAGTAATAGTCAGTACTAGTAAAATGTCTCAGGTAGGTCGCATTAGGTGATAATCATCCTTTATCAGCTAGCAATGATGTTGGAACGAGTTTTACACAGAACTTGGCAGATTCTGGCAGATATTATGCAGATATAAATGTAACCGAAGTGTAAAAAATTACAATATTTAGCTTATTTGCACTATGGAATAGCTCATACAGCTCTGGATCTTTCAACCTTGACTCAGGTAAGAGTATTTTTTGTCGACGAAAATACTCATTTTGCAACTACCAAGTGTACCTCCTATCATTCCTTTCTCGACTAAATGCCTTTCTATATTTCAAAATGTATATTGCAAATACAATGCTTTTTTTGCTTTTTTATTTATTTTTTCTCTCTTTTAGTTGTTTGTTGCTTCTTTGTGCGAAAATTTAACAGATACGTCGAAGTACCGCAGTGTATCAAGGACACAGGTGTTATACAGTCACAAGGCACTTGGGGGAATATGTCATTTTTAGAACTCGCTGTATTCAGTTGTCTAGATCCATCAGCTCAGTTTCGGTTCCGAGAAAATGGCGCCATGTTGAATATAAAAAGACAGGGCTGTCTTGCTGGTGGTTCTTTGTCTGGTTCTGGTTATGATCTTGATTTATTTTATCTTTACGTCGACTCAGTAAGCCTGGACACAGCTGCTTGTGCTCAAAATCCCAACAAGGGCATCTATCGTGCTATAAACCAGACGAGATGGGGAGGATTATCTGTTTCTTATAAAGGGCATGGGAAGAGTTCCTTTGAAACCTGGTGTGCGACTAAGTCTTCTGCCTATAATAATCAAGTTAAAAAGAGATACGGAATCGATCCGCCCATTAGACTGAAAAAATGTGAAACCTGGAGCCAAAGATTCATTTTCGGTAAGTCTATGCTAGACTTTTCTTACGTATAGGATGCTTGAAACGACTGTTCGGGAAGGACTGATTTCAGAATGTGATTATAAGATTTACCTTCGATAGATTTTAGCACGGGTAATTAAACCAGCGGTGTAGCCGGGCCGACGATTTAGTCAGCCTATGCAAAATTATATGATAAATCATTTCATAAATCATATAGCCATATGCACGGTTGTCTGGTCATTCATGCTTTATTTGCATGCATCACACTTATTCTAATTAAAATTATACGCGTTCTAAGTTACAGTTTTAAAGTTTCAAGACAGTTTTATATATAATGCCGTATTGTTAAGAATTGGCAGTAGATGTAACCATTGATTTCCTAAAAAATCAAGTAGCCTTGCACAGATTTCAAACTAAAGCAACTGTTTTCATTAAAGGTTCCGTGACGTGTAACGGTGATATCGTGAGGAATGCCAACTGTCCTAAAGATCAGTACATGGTGGTCAAGATTGCCTCGTTCCGTGGATTACTCGCAACAAAGACTTGTGGTTTGAATTTAACTGATTATAGTTGTGAACTTGATGTAACATGTCTTGTAAAGAAGAAATGTGATGGTCTTCATGAATGTAGTTTGCGTGTGGATGACGCCTTGTTTCCTAGTTATAGGTGTCCAGGATTGAAAACGTATGTTTATTTTGAATATCAATGCGTGAATACAGTGGAAGCGTATAAAGCACCTTGCGGTATGTATATCGACTACTTTTCCTAAAGTCGGCGCAAAGCGAATGGCTGGGATAGAGTAACTATTCGAATTAGCTACAAGGAATAAAACGTATTTTCAAATCCCAGAAAAAACCCAGAAGTATAATTAGTACCACTGGCATTTGAATGCTATTTGCAATATCTACTTATGCAAAGTAAATTAAAGTGTTTGCACCTTTTTTATACATAATTTACCATTGCATCGAACGCTACGTGCAGCATAGTGTATGAAAAAAAATTCATCCATGCATAAATGTTGCCTTAATATTAAATGACGGTGCATCGAGTGGGCCTCCAAGTAATCATTTGTGGCATATACCGCGTGTGTTCTTAAAAAATGTACTTCTGTATTCTACAGGGTGTGTAAAAAAGTACCCCCTAATGCTATCAAGGTTTTCTTAAAATTTGAATGCTTTATTATCATGCTAAATCCACGGACACGTAAAATGGAAAGCGAGAGATGTTTAATTTCTATGCTTTAACCAAATTACTATGTAATTTATACACTAGGGACAAGATATATAAAACTCTTCTACATTTTGCGACTCTGATTGGTCAATACTGTCTTTTTACAACTGTCTCCAGTGGGTTATTCATGCATTCAAATTTCAACAAACGCATTTCAAAATACATTTGTAACCCATTAGTATTTAAAACATAATATCTCTCTTCTCTAGTTCATGATTTTTCTCTGTTATATTCGTCCACACCTAACGAAGGCATAATTCAAATAACCACCGATACTGGGGTGATGAATATTTGTTGGCAAAGTTTAACAAACTACCACACCAATAATATTATCTGTCGTCACCTTGGATACCGCTATGCTAGCTCACCTGTGAATGTGTCCATCCCAGTGAATGCCAAAGATGCTACTTTCTCCGGGAATATCACCTGCAATGGTTATGAAAAATACTTATCCCAGTGTTCAATTGCTGAAGCCACAGAAAGTTGCTCGCAACTATCTTACATCGAATGTGAGTGACGTTAAGTTAAAGGGGGGGGGGGGCAGCACGAAAGGATTACGATTTATACTGTTTTTGGATAAAGGTCTCCCTAATCGATTCTGGATATTCGAAATATATATAAAACCGCGAGAATTTAACAAAACATTTTATTAATTCGGGTTTTACCCTGAGCAAACAAAAGTGTTCGTTTGGCTTATTGTATTGTTTCATTGCTTTATTGTTCTAATGTATTGTTCTCAAAACCTTCATAATTGTCTTTCTTTAACAAAAAGTATCATTCCCCTAACTTTTGTGAACGATAATGTCACAAAGTAAAAAAGCTAACTTATTAAAATGTAATAATAATTTTAATAACCACCAGAAGGCTTCTTCACAAAAAATTTTATTAAATTGTAACAACGTTCCGGAGTTTACTCCATCATCAGGTTACATTTACATGTTAAAAACCGTTTAAACATGCGACTGTTATTACCTCATGTGCGTTTGCAGGGAGATATAAATGAAGTGTCCGAAAATTTTAACAAGTAGAACTGTGTCACAGAGTAAATAACAGATACAGAGCTGGAACTAGTGTACCCAAATTTTAATGCGCATGCTCAGCAAGTGCCACAGATTTAAAATATAACCCTTGTTTATTCAGAATAACTTGCCTCGTAATATGGAGCCAATAGATTTTAATCCAAATTAGAGGAAAACTTTTTAGTTCATCCCATTTCATGAAAATAACGGGTACGATGAAATACGACGTAGAAAATAAGATCTAGGAATTAGATACAAATTATAATTAGTTTAAAATCTATATTTATATATAATAAACAAGTGGAATTTCTTGTCACTCATCTCAAATTCAATATTCGGAATATAAACTTTATTTTCAATTTCAGGTTATTCTCGTTTTCGTCCTTTTGATCATTTCCTTCGTTTCCATCGTTTCCGCCATTATAAACTGATGTTGCTCGATAAACAAAAGTTTCCCGATTCTTCATTTACCGCCACTGATTCTATGAAAGGTCACTCTGCTTCTGATGCAAGGATATCTAGTGGTAGTTCTTGGTGTGCTCCTGTATCGGGCGGCACACATTATCTTCAAGTGGACTTAGGAGCACTTTATCGGATCTATTATATTGTAACATATGGTGACCGAACCAGTCCGAAGTGGATCATCACATATAAATTGAATTACACAACGGATTTAGTAAACTGGAAAATGATCCCCAGGGTGAGAAGGAGCAGAAAACAAAACATATTGCGCAATAAAATACGCTGACTGATGGATAGTCAGTAGCGTGGGCCCAACCCGACGACTTGCATGTCCCGCTATGCTAATATTTTTTGTTCGGTAACTGCGAAAACAATAAATTTCTAAAGAAACAAATAATTATAATCACACAAAATTTACATAGCAGGACAAAATCGTCAGGCTGGTTACGTCACTGATGATAGTTTAAACAATCTTTCAAACGTTTGAAATTTAGTCTGCTTAATTATAGGCTTCTTTGATCATATATTCATTCTTTAAAATCATAAAAGCAATCGTCTTTAAAATTAGTGAAGAGGAACATTTATACCGGGTGTCCCCAAGAAACAAAACTTTTAAAATTACTTTTCTTTTCGCGGATTCCTTTGGCCAGTCGTAATTGAAACGAAATTCAAGTGAAATTGGCGTTGGAGCAATATAAATTCCGGTGTAAGAAACCAATTCAATGGATCGATATTTCGCTATTCACGATGCACTACTTAATATTTATTTGCAGATATGTCCAGGAAACTACTATTCTCATTGCAGATATTTCAAGGAAACAACAATGTATCATTTACAGTAGCTTAGCCATCCTGTAGATTTGTCCCGCTATGCTAATATTTTAGCGTTCACTGACTTTAAAAACAATAGATTTCTAAAGAAATGAATAATTATAATAATTCGAAATTTACATAGCAGGATAAATTGCCAGGCTGGCTACGCCACTGATCGTTAACTATATTCTAATTGCAGATATTTCAAGGAAACAAGAATGCTTACGGTCATTCAGCTTGGCAGAGAGGTCTGGAACGTTATCGGGCGGTAACAAGAGCTTTTCGATTTATTCCAATAATGTATGTAGGTCAACCATGTGTGAGAGTTGACTTGTTTGGCTATGGTGAGTCACATGCTGTTTTTGTTTCAGTTGGATTCTTAATTATTATATTATTTTGCTCCATGACCATGAGGTATGTGAGGAGGGCATTTAAATACACTAGCGGTCAAAAAGAACTGCTCAAATGTTGCTATTGTTGTATGTAACAGGAATCTTAACAATCAATCTTTTATTGTACACTAGCGGTCAAAAAGACTGTTTAGATACAAATTCATAAAAAAGAAGCGAATATAGGAGAAAGCTTCATAGACATTTTGGATAATTCTCTTATTCTAAGCAATATTTCAATAATGTAACGCAACCTGCCACACTTCAAAGATAGTCAAACAATGGATTCAGGAAGAGGGAGTGACAGAAATGGATTGGCCTGAACAGTCAAAAGACCTTAACCCTATTCAAAATCTTTGGGACGATGTCAAGGGGATAGCGCAAGAAAATAATTAATTCATAAAGCGTGGATGATTTATGGGTTGCTGTAAAGATTGTCCATAGGATGAATTTTTTTTCACTGTGAAGATTACCACCTTAACAGAAAGTATGCCACGCCGGTGTAAGACCGTCATCAATTACAAGGCCAAAAGAGGGTCAACATAATATTACTATTTCATATAGCCTAGCATGTATTCTAGTCTATATTTGCTCATATATATTTTCAGAGAGAGAGTTACGTTCATTTGAGAGCATTTCAACTTGTGTTGAGCAGTTCTTTTTGACCGCCAGTGTATAATAAAGCTACACCTATATGTTATTTGCGTTTTCATTTTTTTATGCTCTTCAAGCTGTGTTACCAGATTCACCTAGAAACCTAACAGTGACTAACGTCACGTCCCGATCTGCTGATGTATCTTGGTTAGAACCCGAATATCCAACCCGCATTCTCAAATATTGGAGACGACTGAAGGGAAAACAAATACTTATTAAAGTAATGACGGATAACTCTGTCATTTTGAACGTTACCACTGACAGATTCGTCGATCGTTACAAAATCGACCATCTTACTCCGTTCACAGTATATGAAATATCTGTATCCGCTGGAAATTATTATGGTTTTGGTCTTCCTGCTATTACATCATTCTTAACATCTGAAGAAGGTACACATCAATTTTGAATATATGAACAGGGGAGTAAAAAATACAGTTCTGCCTCTCATCATGTGTTTCCAAGATTGGTAAAATAAATTAGCCATTTTCGTTAGTCCCCTCCCCCAATTATCCTTCTAGTTTTGATCCTACTCGCTATTGTAGTCAACCAAACTGCCAAGCTATTTCTTTTTCCAGAGTCGAGACTACTATCAAAGCGAAAATTCTTAAAATATTTTTTTCTTCTCAAATTTTTACATAAATATCTTCAATGAGTCAGAAATAAGCGTCAAAAAACAAGTTGAAGTAATATTGCATGTGGAGCACTTCGAGCAAAGTTAATGTGTTGTACAATTTCTTTGCTAAAATGAGAAATGTTGCTTAGAACTCATAAAATATTGAATTTTTCTAGTCTGATTAAAATCATCATGGTTCATTACAAACGCATTTGTCTGAATTGCCTCTTGTCTGAATTGCAGATTGAACTGCCTAGTCTGCCTACGTATACTCTGCAAAACTTGGTACTGCACTTATTATGTTAGTATACTAAAAATGCTTTGTCGAAAGGAGCACATTTATTCAATCAAATGTAATGCAGTTTAATTTTAAAATGATTTTTCGAAAATGGACAAAATGGCAAAATGTTTCTTGCTTACTAACTAAACAGCCTCGGAGGCCAAACGGGTAAGCGGAAATGCTATAAAGGTTCAGAATAATATTATGTAGAAGTTTATCAGGAATATACTTTATTTTTGCACGAAACTACCGTGTTTACATTGTAAACTATACACGAAATGTTTATGCATGGTATAATGCTACAAGAGGCTTAGAGTACGATTTTATCATAATATTAATAAACAAATAGTCATGTGATGTTTAATTATGGATAAATAGTGATCGTGATAAAAGCTAAATATTTTTATGACTTTAATACATACCACGTTTCGTTTACCATTAACTCGATGACTTCAGAAAGATATATATATATAGATTTGGATTATTTTTTTTGTTAACCCTTCAAAATGTTCTGAAATAACCAATTAAGTATATTCAAATTGGCAGGTTTGTTGAAACTAAAATAAAGCACAAAGCTTTGTCTTCAATATTTAGCCCCAAGTGGTCCTCCGATGAACATCAAAGCAACATCAAGAAGTGCATCATCGTTGCTTCTTGTCTGGGATCCTCCAGAGAAAAATAAACAAAATGGCGTCATTACCAGTTATACTGCGTGCCTTTCACATTTGAAAAATGGATCTTGCTTTCAAATGTTCACCACAGGTGAAAGTAGGTGGCTTATCGGGAATTTGAATTTTTCAACGAAGTATTATGTTCGCATTCTCGCCAGAAATAAAGCAGGAAGCAGCAACTACAGTGAAGGTCAAGTGATCTTCAGTAATGAACGTAAGAAAAAATTTGTAATTCTTTTAATAATTCTAGAGCAAAGCACTAAGATGCTGTCTATTGATAAAAACATGTCAACACTTTCAATTTTTGGTGCGATTTTGGAGCCGAAAAACTGGAAATTGGAAACAAATTAACAAAATAAGCTTCTTATAATTGCTACGAACGGAAAAATATGATGGCTGCATAATGCTTTCCTTGGTAACTACAAATAACCTTATGAGTTAATAATTAGCGATAATAACTTAATAGAAATATTAGTAGGATTCCTAAATATCCTACAAGTAATTCATTCATAATTATTACTGATTTTACTGAAATGCATCTTGGCAAGGTGATATTACAATGTTACAAAACAAATTGGAAACCACTCGAAAAATGTGACTCAACTCTTAGTTGAGAATGCACTGCTCGGAATCGTTGTTCGTCGTAAACATACCCTAACCCTTTGTTCTCGAGCTCCTAACAAACAGCCTACAGTCAGTTCAGGCAAGCAAAGTAAACTAATCTTTCTTTTAAAAGATTCAATTTTAGATAGGAGTGAAGAGGAAATCAATGGTGGTTGTAAGACGTATCTGCTAGGAATGATAATTTCCGCAACGCTCGTGATTGCTTCTTTCGTCGCCATTGCTTGTTTGGTTCGTAAAAATCGTCGGCTCAAATCATTATACCCCACGATTGGGATAGTGAACATGAAAATTAGAAGGAAAAATTCATCAAATATTTATGACATCCCGGAGCAAGGTAATGTCTGTGACGAGGAAAACTTGGAAAGTCCACAAGAGAATTACACGGAGCTCCAAAGGAGGGACCATGAAGGTTTTTACATGAAGTACAACACAACTAGATAAATATGCATCCAATGCACAATTCACAAATTAATCGTTCTAATGCAAACATGAAGATACAATTTGCCTTTTGAACAATACGTTTTGTTCATTGGCCATAATTTTGTTACATATTTTCTTATTTCAAGTTGCCAGTAAAACAGTACATAGCTTAGAGATTAAAGCACCTGGCATTTGATTACATATACTTCAAAGCAATTAACGATAAGTAAACCTGTTTATAGCTGCTAGTGATGTACCTACTTTTTTACCTTTTTACCGGGTTACAATGAAATCGGTTTCCTTCGGAAAATCTGCGACAAGCTTTCAAAAACAGAGGTTATTATGTAGAGCGTTGCTTGATTAGCAAACCTATAACTTAGAAAAAGCGAAACTGTTTTGGCAAAATCAGGTCTCTTTATTCCTATTATTGGTTCCTATGAGATTATAAGAGTGTGCAACCAGTCTTAACAGGGACGTAGCGTTGCTATATAAATTGCACAACCCCCATTTATAAAATGCTAAGTAGCAGAGAATTAAAACTTGCAGAGGGGCATGAATATTATGGTGATCGAGTTGTAGATATAGGGCCAATGTTACGCATAATTGTAAATTTTAAATTTTGTTAATAAAGTTGTTTCTGTGTACAAACAAACTTTACTGTGCATAAAAATGCTTATGCCGTGATGTGTCAAACATTAATACACTTTTGAGGCCCAACAGGGTGATTAAAGGCATTCACACCCTAACGCTTGTATTCTAAAAGCTTGCTCACACTCAAACTCATTAATTGGGAGATTATAATCTTTCCATAACGTTTCAATGGCAGTATTTCGAGCCGAATAGGGGCTTGATTTTCAGTTATTAACCTTATATCTTTCCGTCTCTTAAGAGAAAATTTTCTCATTGTCTCTCTCTCTCTCAATTTATATGTCACACTCAAAGAGCGTGAGTTTGAGTGAGCTCTATATATATATATATGAAGGTGCGGAAACACGTCTGGTATATTATGAACTGTGTGGAAACATGTCTGGTATATCATGAACTTGTTTTATTCTTGATTTCCTCAGACTCAACTATTTGTTTGTTAATATACAAACGTTTCGCCGGTCAAGGCTTCTTCAGTGCAACGGTTAGTAGCAATATTAAGATCCTAGTGTATATACAGGTATGTAGAATTAAAAATTAAGAGGGGCGGATCTAGGGGTAGTCACACCGATCACTCGACTAACATAAAAATTCCGCAATAATTTAATTCAATGAAAGTGAAATAATTATTATTTTTCCGAACGCAGTCCAGTTGTAAATTTGCAGCGGCATAATTAATTTTCTGGTCGAATGAATTAAATTAACATTGATCTCTCTTGATGTCCCCGCTCTGATTTCAAATTTCAAACTGCACAATCGTGATCGTTCTGGAGGCTTGGCCTGATCGTTTCTGGTCAATCTGATTGGTTCATTCGGTGGTTTCCAAGGAGACAAAAATGGTGATCGTTTTGGAGGTTTGGTCTGATCGTTTTAGAGGTTGGTTATGGGCGTTTTTCATCAATCTGATTGGTCAGATCGATAGTTTCCATGGCAACACAAGTTGTGATCGTTTTGGAGGTTGGTCTGATCTTCATTTCTTATTGGCTGTTTAATTCCTGATCGATCACGACCGATCAAGCGATCAGAGTCAGACTCAGACTAGCCTCCTCCGCAGGCATTTCTTATATATTTATATTATGCATTTATATTTGACCGTGAGTAATATCACCGATCATGACCGATCAGAGCCCGTGTTTTGCAGTCGAATGTATAGTTCTTTGTAAGGGAATTCAAAAGAAAAACAAGTATAGAGCAGTTTTAATGCGGGCGCTATGTTCATGACACTATTAAATAACATGTCGTCGAGAGATGGATGTTTTCGTATTAAATATACTCGCATGTGTTCGTCTGTTCGACGAATTGAGAAGTGTACTGTTATAAGGTAAATTATCCAATGTTGATGTTTATGTAAACTATACTCTGATAATACTATAAGTTCATATAAACAATGGTCCGATAATATAACTATGTTATTGTTAGCTTATATATTTTACCTAGGCTTTGAGGCTGCTGTTATTAGCATATATTTGCATTCGCCCGTCGCCCGTCAAATCGATTTAGAATGTCGAGCCTATTCATATTCTCATTTGTATTGATTATTCGCATTACCCAGATTCTTCTTGCTAGCATTGTATAGATTGTGAGCTAGTGTAATAATCTGTAATTTGCAGTTTGAAAGATTTAGAAAGCTATGGATATTTGCGAAATCATTATAATATATAAATATAAAGCAATTTCGCTTTGACCATATACAATGATAACGTAATAAACCTGTGTTCTTACATTTCACTAGACAATAACATTTTGAGCTGAAAATTTCTTGAGAGGTCTGTTCGAAGGGGTAAATTTCTACCATTATTGAGATTTGACTATTGCTATAAAAACATGCATTTTATACCCGCAAAACGTCCCTTTTTAAGCCTTCCATTTCAGTGCCTACACAATGTCAGTTTTGTGTGGCATTCAATATAGCTGTGCCCTAGGAATTTAGCAGACTTTAACCTGGCATTAAGCTTGGAAAGCCTCATAAATTGGCTATCTGTAAAACAAGGAACGGGGAATCGGGGAAAGGAATGAGGAAAGGAACGGGGAACGGTAAAACCAGGAATGAGAAAAGCCGGAATCTGTAAAACCAGGAATGGGAAAAGCCGGAATCTGTAAAACCAGGAATGGGAAAAGCCGGAATCTGTAAAACCAGGAATGGGAAAAGCCGGAATCTGTAAAACCAGGAATGGGAAAAGCCGGAATCTGTAAAACCAGGAATGGGAAAAGCCGGAATCTGTAAAACCAGGAATGAGAGAAGCCGGAATCTGTAAAACCAGGAATGAGAAAAGCCGGAATCTGTAAAACCAGGAATGGGAAAAGGCGGAATCTGTAAAACCAGGAATGAGAGAAGCCGGAATCTGTAAAACCAGGAATGGGAAAAGCCGGAATCTGTAAAACCAGGAATGGGAAAAGCCGGAATCTGTAAAACCAGGAATGAGAGAAGCCGGAATCTGTAAAACCAGGAATGGGAAAAGCCGGAATCTGTAAAACCAGGAATGGGAAAAGCCGGAATCTGTAAAACCAGGAATGGGAAAAGCCGGAATCTGTAAAACCAGGAATATAATATAATAATAGATAGTAAATAATAGTAAAAGGAACAACATAATTTTATATTTCTTCGATTTAGCATTTTTTATAACCAGCAAAAAGTCTTAGATACGTCCGGTGATTTATGATCGAAGACACCTATTGCGCGCAAATCTTAGCGAGGTTAATAATAAACTTAAACTTAAACTTAAACTTAAACAAAGGTTCAGATTTGACTCCCACTAACCACTACCATTAATAAGGGAACATGATCCAATCAAATGCGAAAGAAAGGTTGTGGTAGTGGAAGTCAAATGTGAACCTCGCTAATATCGACAATCAAAACGAAACAAACCCTAATAAACCCTAAACACAACATAACAGGAAAATACATGGCCAACACTGTCCTACAGCGTAATAGCTTTAAAATCTTAGTTGCTAAATAATAAGTCTGCCTATACAAGTAGGCTATTATGTGAGCGGTAGCTGTCTCATACCGGGATGTTTAATCCAAAATTTTGCGTCAATCGATTTAAGTGTTCTTGCTTAAGAGATGCGTAAAATACTGGGCTAATTTGAAGCAGACCAACATGGAACGTAGGATATCGCAGCAAAATACATTCACGTCGAAAATGGAAATGGACGTTTTGCACTTCCGCATTTCTCGTCAGTTGTCCTGTTAATCTATCTCGGTATTCCCGAATATCGCGACAAACGACAACAAGATCATCTGGACAGTGCTGTGGTGGATTTTGGATTGCACCACCACATCCATAGCACCTTGATACTTTCGTCCCTTGTAACCACTTCAACTGAAAGGCACTCGCGGGCAAACGACTCGGTTGATTAGTCACAGGACTATGTTGGTTAGCACTCGCGGACGATCCAATCAAAGAATATTGAAACGACGGGGTAGAATTAAACTCCACCGTTTGGGGTGCTTGTGTGACACCGCTGGGTAATGTGAAGGCATGGCGGGATATGCTGTCATTGTGGGATACGATGATGGCAAGCCTGCAGACGATTCTGGTGCCCCGTAACTTCCAACTGCTGACATCGAGTAGGGAAAACGTGATGGTTGCATTTGAGAATTGACTGTTGCAAATGAAGATTGTGAAGGTACACTAGATTGCAGGTTCGGCGTAGGTTGCAAGAGTGGCAAATCCTCGTTGTTGCCTAGCACATCGACGTATTCCATGATTGGCTTAGGTTTGGCATTCGTCCTTTTTCTGGTAGATGGCTTTTTCCCAGCGGACTTCGGACCACTTTGCTCGACCATGTCCATCATCATGGTTCTCTTTTTCTTCCCTTGAACCAAGATAGAAATTCCTTGAGTATCCCTTTCACTTGCGCTACGGCCAGAACGTGCTCGCAAATCTTTGTTGAGAAGTTGACACAGGTGCGATCACATGACAATGAATTGCCCTTGCCGGGTTGCACAATGTGAATTTGTTGGACGTTCCAGCAACAACGAATGATCCATCGACTGCTCCTGGTTTGGCAATTACGTTTCCAGGGACGCTTAAGAGGTTTGAAGCTCTTTCAAACAATGACTCTAATATGGTAACGGAATGGACTTTATACCACTTTCTTCTGCGGTTACACTGATATATACTTTCGCTGGGTCTTCGCCTGACTCAGGTTGTACAGGGATAACTTCTTTCATTTCATTCATCCAGCTTTAATGAAGTCAAGGGATTTCTTGCTGATTTGGGCATGGTTTAAACGGCTTCTTTGCACATCGTTCACTGTAAGATGCGAAAACTGTTGACATACTCGGTACGGACCCATCCCGAAACACTGCACGAGTCTCGTTGCGTTGTTGGGTTTCGATGATATTTTTTATTTTATCGACAAACTCGTGAGGTTACTAGCCTCG